CATGCTCTGCAACAATGATCCAGTGATTGAACACTCAGAGCCGTAGCTAGGGATCCTCCCACACGGCATGAAAACAATCGTGAAGGGGAGAACAGGATTGGAGCCTTCACTGCTTCCTCATAGTCTGTCTCCTCTATAGTGAATCCAGCTAGACCCAAAGCGTCCTTCCTTTCCCTCCTGACTCCTAAACCTGGTACCCTGGCTGGAACACAACCCACCACTCGAGCCACATTAGTCAAAACACAGAACCCTGTATGTAAAATCAGCTGGATAGGCAGAATGCTTATCACTAACGTAAATACTTCATGAAACACACAGAAAATCAACATACTTTGGAAGGTGACAGAGAGGTGGGGGCACCTGAGTTCACACCGTGCCTCAGACATGAGTAGTGTGACCCTAGGAAGGAAGGAAATGAATAAACATTTCCCTAAGAGCCTACTATATGCTAGGCATTGTGCTAAATGCTTTATAAATACTATTTCATTTGACCCTCACAACAACCCTGGAAAGTAGATGCTGTTATTATCCCCATTTTACAGCTGAGGAAGCTGAGGCAGATACAGGCTAAGAAATTTATCCAGGGTCACATGGCTAGTAAGTACCTGAGTTCAGATTTGAACTTGCCTTCCAGACTCTAATGGGCAAATCACTTAGCCTCCTTCTGCTTCAGTTTCCTCATCTCTAAAATGGGGTTAATAATAGCACCTACCTTACTCAGTTGTAATGAAGATCCAATATGATAACATATGTAAAGCACTTTGTAAACCTTTAGGTGCTCCATAAATGCTAGCTATTGTTAATATTTCTTAATATTAATATTGACTAAATATTAATATTCAGCCAATCAGTTAACCAGCAGGAGAGGGGAATGCAAAGAGAAATTAAACATTCTCTGCCCTTTAAAGTCTATCAGGAGAAAAGGACATGTACACACATAAGTCAGAACATTTACAAAGTACAAAGAGGTGGGAAGGCACCAGAGGCTGGGGAAATAAGAAAAGGACTCCTATAGGAGGAAGGGGTAGAATTGAGTTTTTAAGGAAATAAGAGATTCTAAGAGTCAAAGGTGAGGAGGGAATGTATTCCAAGCATGGGGGAGTGAGGAGGAAGGGCGCAGCCTGGGAAAAGGCCCCTAGAGGGGAGATCATAGCATCATTGATTCAGAGCTGTAACGGTCCTTGGAGGTCAATGAGTTTGGCTCTTTCATTCATTTTACAAATGAAGAAACTGAGGCTCAGAGAGGCTGTGATTTTCCCAGGGTCACGCAGCTAGCAAGTATCGAAGGGAAGATTCAAACCCAATAAAGGTCTTTATTGTGGGGAGATTATACACACACACACACACACACACACACACACACAGAGAGAATATTTTTATATTTCTACACCTGAGACATGTTTCATTAATAAAAATGTCATGAAAGGAGAGGCATTGCCATCTGGTTTGCTCCTGCACTCTTAGGACCACGGGCCTCTTCCATCTAACTTACAGCTAAAATCTTACATATGTGTTGTTTATCCAATTAGGATGGGAGTTCCTTGAGAGCAGGAACTGGCTAAATTTCCTACTTTTATCCTATGGTGCTTTGCACATGAGAGCAACTATGTAGCAAAATGGAGAGAGTGCCAGGTCTGAAGTCAGAAAGACTCATCTTCCTGAGTTCAAATGTGACCTCAGATACTTACTAGTTATGTGATTCTGAGCAAGTCATTTAACCCTATTTGCCTCAATTTCCTCATCTGTAAAATGAGTTGAAGATGGAAATGGCAAATCACTCCAGTTATCTGTGCTAAGAAAACCCCAAATGGGGTCATGAAGAGTCAGAAAATAGCAAACCACTCCAGTATCTTTGCCAAGAAATGGGGTCATGAAAAGTTATACATGACTGAACATAGTTGTGTATACATATGTATACACAAACTGCTCCATGCACTGTGCTATCTAGTAGCATCATGGCAAAAGGTGCTTGTGACCTAACTGAATTTGGAACTACTTAAAATCAGCTGGGAAGAATGCTCTCTTCCTCTGGCTGCCTGCACCATTGGCCACTGTCTGAGAGAATGAGGCCATTCAGTGTAAATCACACAATAAATGAGTAAAGGCAAGAAGAAAGTACAGCTGTAAATTAGATGGCATGGAAAGGTCAGAATAGTGAAATGCTACTTACTGCTATAAGATCTTAATCAAATCTCAATCTCTCTGAGCCCCAGTGTTTTTATATGTACGATGACGGGGTTGGATTTTGATCTCTAAGATCCTTTAAAGCTACGATCCTGTGATTTGATACCACAAGCACTTTCTGCCTGTCTAGTTTTGTAATCTAATCAGGAAGAAATACATGGCCTCCCTTTAACCCCCTACAATTGCCTGGGCACTTCTGGGTGCACTGCCAAATAAACATCGAGTTCAGGCCAGTTTCTTTAGTCAACTTGCCAAGCATTCTGCAGAAGTTAATGAGAGACATCTAATCAGTTCGTGAGCATTTAAAAATGCATCAACAAAACTACAAACAGGCCGAGAGTAATAATGAAATGGAGGGAACACGGAGATGATTCCAGCAGTCAGACCTGGCTGATTTACAGGGCCCAAGCTCTCAGCCACAGCCCAGAACGTACCAACTGAAACTGTTTGTCGCCACTTGAATGAAAGCCCATATGCCTTTGATTATTATTTTTTCCATGTTCATTTCACTATAGCAATAATGGATCAGAAGCTGTGTTTGAGGCTGTCAGCTCTGCTCAGTAAATCTTTAATCCTTAGAAAATTCCTTGCACCCGTGCCAATTATTGCTTAAATAGGCTCTGAAAGGAATATTATGTTTCTTTGTGGTTTTAATTCAATGGGGGGGGGGAATGAATATTTTTATGTACAAATAATTTACAGAGATAGGTGGTATATAACAAAAGTTCAGCTTCATATACAATCCATTTTTGTTCTTCCTCATACACTGAAATGTTCGTGTTGATTGTTAAATTTAAAATTAAAAAAGAATAATTTTTTTTAAAAGCCCAGCAATGGATAGGAGATCTCAACAGTGGAACATTTGGGCAGAGCTATAACTAACATTTTTGGTGCTTAGGACAAGTAGTACATGAGGTACCATCAAATCAACTTGAAAAACAATTCAGTTGAAGGGGTAATTCAGAGAAATCAAGGAAAGACCATGTACCTCTTACTTTGGTAGACAGAGCCTGAGCACTGATGCAGGAGGCAGGATTGGGAGAAGAAAGCAGGAGAGGAATGGACTAGGGATTCAGCTCAGGTGGAGGTGGGAAGGAACTCTACCATTTGATACCTTACAATTTCATTATTCATCTTAACTCTATGCTAAACTTAGTTGTTTCTACTAGCCAAAGAATTGTAAAAGCGTTCTCAGGGCTCTGTACATTTTGGTACCCTGGAGCAAAGTTCTTGTCACCATGGTAATTAGGTTTCCATATACAGTTGGATTTCAGTATATTATCTTTACTAATCAAAAACGCATGCCCTTTCCCCCTAAATGGGCAAAAATTCTCTTTCACTATTCTTTGTTCAGCTTCCTCTATGAATCATAATGATAATTTTCTTACTTATCACACTGTAAAGGGGCAGCTGGGTGGTGCAGAGGATAGAGTGTCAGGCCTGGAGTCCAGAAGGCTCATATTCGTGAGTTCAAATCTGTGTGTGACCCTGGGCAAGTCACTTAACTCTGTTTTCCTCAATTTTCTCATCTGTAAAATGAGTTGGAGAAGGAAAGGGCAGTATCTCTGCTAAGAAAACCCCAAATGGGGTCACAAACAGTTGGACGCAACTGAAAAAAATGACTGAAAAACAACAACATTGTAAAGATGTTAACCGACAATGGACAAAGTTCTCTGCTCTTCACCCTTGATCCTTTTTCCGAGTTCACACATTTATTTCTACTCTTGGCCTTATCCAGAGGCCCATTTATGAGGGATATAATTCTGGGAGATGATGGACTAGGTGACTTCTGAAGTCCCTTCCAACTTTACTAGTCTATGATCCCACAATTCCCTTCTCTCCTATCTCCTATCCACAGCCCTGTTGAATATGCTTTATACACAGCCACCACATGATAGACGGTTGTTGAAGTAATGAATGAAAGTATATCGGTAATGCCTTAATACGTGTGTGGTGTTTTAAAACTTTCAAGTGTGCTATGTTTATTGTTCATTTGTTATTTGCCCAAGTTTCCAGTGATTCCCTCTTTTTTGCCTCTACGTTAAAACGCAAACTCCTCAGCTGATATTTAAAGCCCTCCACAATCAGACAACAAGATACTTTATCTCATATTGGTTCCCTTCATGTACTTTGCATTCTAACTAAACTGGACTGTAAGTTAATCCCTCAAATTTGACACTCCATCACCTGTGTTTACACAAGCCACTGTACCCAAACTACCATTAGATAGCAAAATATAGATGTGCACAGAAGTGGTGATCTCCATTGGTGAAGGGAGTTTCTGTACTGAGTTCTCTTCACAGATGAAATCATACAGTACTAGATTAAAATGAAAAAAATAAACAAAACCCACAGATCACACTTATGATTTTTTTTTTGGTCCAGAGTTGGTCAATCAAGTCCCTTTACTACACACTATGTGCAAAGCAAAGAACTGTTTAGGATGATAAAATGAAATAACAGATCACAGCATTGTTTAGAATATATAACATGCTTCTTGTTTTCAAAGAACTTCTAGAAAATCAGCATTGTAATGAAAAGAGTACTGGACTTTGGTTTCAGGTCCTGACTCTGCTAATTACTTGTAGTATGACCTTGGGCAAGTCTCTTCATTTTTCTGGGTCTCAGTTTCTTCATCAGTAAAGTGAGTGTGCCAGACTAGATGACTTCTAAGATTCCTTCTTGCACTAAGATTTGGTGGTTCTGGTTTCAATAATGTTTAGCAAGTTAGTGATTTTAAAATGAGGACAGGGTAATTAGTGAATATTACCTCTTAGGAAAGAACATAAGCTTTTTTTCCTTTTCTCTTCACCCAGTTATGAATTCCAGGTGACACCCAGAAACCCTCTTGGCGAAGGCCCACCTAGCAAAACTGTGGCATTCAGTACTGAATCAGGTAACCACATCAATGACTCATAGTGATTTAGTCCAGAGAAGTACTCAGTGCTTTGTCTAATGCAAAGACCATCAGACGGAATCCAGGGTAAGCTCCCAATGCTCAGGAATTAGGCTTTTTGACCAAAGTTCTAAAACTATCAATGGGGAAAAGCAAATACATAAAGATGAACTCAGGTAAGCTTTTGTATGTTTCTTTATCTCTCTTCTACTCAAGAAAATTCTTTTTTTGTCAGACTAGGTGACATTAAGGAAGAGTCTATGCTCAAATAGCCTGGTCAATCCAGTGTATGCTGCCAAACCCAGAATAAAATATTCATGCATTATGAAAAAGACTACTTGGATCTGACCAATATTGATGCCCAGAAGATTTTATTAGTTGGTCAGTTTATCAACAATGACCATTTTTTCATAATGGTATAGATCTTGATACTACAGTTTGATGATACAGAATTGTGAACAGAAGACATTCAACTAATATTTATAAATAAATTAATAACTCAACTAATATTTATTGGTAATCAATATTTCTTGCACAATAATTGTCCCACCAACTGCTGCTTGTTAACATCCTGGTGACTGATAGTATGTGCTTTTTCGACTGAGCTAGAAACTGGATCTGGATTTGGTAGATGTTGTAGAGGCCATGACAGCTGGTACTGAATGGCTGTGAGCCACACGCCATACAGAAATAGCTATGAGATGGAAGAAATGAATTTCAACACTTAAGAAAACTTTCCAAAAGCAAATTTAATTCAGTGTTTAGTTGGGGCGTGACATTTTATAAACAATACTCTGTAGCAACTGTGGAATCCATCTTCTTTACTGTGATGTTAGATTATAATGTTGGGCACTATTTATCTTACATTGACTGACTCATGGTTTGCAATTTTTCCCCAGCGGATCCAAGAGTGAGTGAGCCAATTTTAGGTAAGGATATTGCACTGAGTAAGCATAAATCGGAACTTTTATTTAAACTACCTTAATGAAACAAGGCACGAACCATTACTTTACTTGCATGTCTTCACAACTCCCACTTAAGAGTACGTAAGAGTTCCTGCCAGTCTAAATGTTAACCTAAAATGAACAACAAATTTCAAATCTGTGATGCTCTAGGAGCAACCAGAATATTTTGAAATAAGTCTGCTTCAATATGCCTGACCAGCTCAGGTTTTCTCATCCAAATCACTAAATCACCAAAGAATAAACAATTTCCCACTTAAGGCTTAGTTAGCTGCAAGCCACATTGAATCTACTGAAATGTTATTATGTGCTATACAAGGCAACAAAATCCAGATTAGCACCAAAATATTACCCTCTGTATCTAGCATTGCAGAAAGCTTTGAATATTGACCATTATAACATTATATAATATTGAACTTTTGTTTTAATACTGAACATTCTTTCCAAGGTGTATTTATTTCATTATTAAATAGAACTCAGGCTTTTTTTTTTTAATCTTTTCAACACTTTAAGTCAGGTAGATTCAAGCAAGCTGATACTAAAACTTAAAAATGTGGCTGTTTCATAGGTTTTTAGGCAACTTTTACAAATAGGACAGTCTACCTTTGATCTTGTGTCCCACTCCCAGGATATAAAACAGTGGATGAGAAAATAAACTTGGCCTGTGTATTTCTCTTATGCAGCAGGAAGAGATGCCATCTGGACCGAAATACCCTTTAAATCAGACTCTTATTCAGAATGCAAAGGCAAACAGTATGTCAAGAGAACTTGGTATAAGAAGTTTGTAGGTGTGCAGCTCTGCAATTCTTTGCGATACAAGATTTACTTGAGTGATTCACTCACAGGTAAGGGCAACACTTTTCTAAGCTTTGTTCTTTAGTTTTCAGACATTTTCCTTTTAATACACTGCTTGGCTATTCCCTTACTTTGGGCTTTTCTGCTATAGAGTACAAGTTACTGTGGGATTATTCAAATAAAAATATAGTACCTTTAATTAAAATGTCACTGAAGCATTTTTTGATACAGATCGAAGTCTCGATTCTACCTTTCAGAACTACACACAAAAGAACTATTTGAAAGGCAAAACCTAGTCCCATGCCTAACAAATAGTAGTGTTCATATTATAATTTTTGCCATAGCCATCTGAAAGAAAAATGTTGAGTAAAAAGAAAATTAAACATTAAAACAACTGTAAAAAATTGACATTTGGGTTGATCATTAACATGGAGCAATGTCTTTGTCCCACCCATTATAATTTTAGCTTGAAAAATATATAGGCATATATGAAATATAATACTACTGCCATTTACTCAACTGGAAAGGGCTAATATCCTCTAATACAAATCCTTAATTTAGACGATGGAAGCTACTAAAATGTAACTGTAAAGTTACCAAGCACACTTTGAAAGAGGATATTTATAAACATATGTTTATGTCTAATATTAGAAAGTTTTAACTGGCTTGAAAAAAAATTTTTTTGGAATGGCATTAACATTCCACCCATTAAAAGTAGAAACTAAAGTAGTTCAAAGGAAATAAATGAATTTAAAGTCCAGGCTTGTAGCTAATTGCTTCTTACCCAGCTCATTCTTCCTACTAGCCCATTCTTGGCTACTTCACCTATCTCTCCTCTACTAGTTAAGTGTTCCTAATTTTTGTTAGGATTGTTTAGTGATTTCTCTGCCTGTATAAATTTAATTATAAGAATTAAATGATTGCCCCCATAGTAATCCACTACAAATTGGCTTCTAGTTAGCTAGACCTCCTAATTAAACAATACCCCCTATTCCCTCAACATGTCAGATAACAAAACTTTCATTGTAGTTGGATCTAAATTTCCAAAACAATGTCAAAGGCACAAAAAAGTAGCTCAACAACTCAGGGGAAAGATGAAGAAAAGGAACTGGGACAGGAAACAACACTGGTCAGAGCACTCATTTTGGAGTCAGGACACCTGAGTTTGAATAATGGCCCTAGATATCATTTGCTCTATTATCCTGGACAAGTTGCTTAAACCTATGACTCAATTTCCAAACAAGTGTTTATAATACTCGCTCTATCTGTTGGGCAGAAAGTGTTGCAAAAGTACTGTTTAAGTGTGAGTTATTTAAAGCCCTAATCAACCTTGGATCATGGAAGACCTTCCTACCCACCTGTTTTTGGCTTTTTTCAGACTGCGTGTGCATGTGTGTGTGTATGCTTATGAGAGAGAGAGGTGGGGAATGAGAGAGAGAGGGAGGGAGAGAGGGAGGGAGAGACTTGGTTATAACAGTTCAATAGACTCATACATTAGCAATAAGTCTGATAAACCATCATTGGCTTATTTTTCAATGTCCTTTTAATTTCTGTATATTCAGGAAAATTTTACAACATAGGAGATCAGAGAGGACATGGAGAAGATCATTGCCAGTTTGTGGATTCCTTTTTAGATGGCCGGACTGGACAGCAACTCAGTTCTGATCAGCTGCCCATCAAAGAAGGTATTTCATTGAATCTCACTTCTTCTAAAGTGGTCTAGTGGCCCTCAAAAAGTTTTGTTGTAGTGAATTTAAAAACTGATTAAAAACTGAAAAAGAAATACACAGCACATGCATAGCTTTACATACACAAGGCATATCATTAGAGTATGGAGATAAAACATATGATAGGAAAAGCACTGAATTAGGAAAACAAGTTCTTGGTCTGGTTCTGCCACTAGCTTTCTCTTTAATCTTGGCCCAGTCACTTAAATTGACACGAACCAATCTGACACATTCCTTATCATCTGTAAAGTGAATAGACTATACTAACTGCATGCCCTCCAATATCCTTTCCAGTTCAAACAGTCCATGAAATGGGATAAAGCTAGATAGAGCTAATGAAATTATTTCCTGTACTCATAGGAATAAATGAGGTTCGCTGGCAAAATTCAATTGAACAAAGTATTTATTAAGTACAGAATACTGTATAAGGAAAATTCTATCAACAAAAAATGGGTAGTTCCATTTCCCTTCCATTTATTGATTCCTTCAGCTGTGTTCCCTCACCACCCTTCCATAATTTAGCAACCAAAATCTTGGCTCAACCAGAATCAAGTGAAATTACCCATAAAAGATAAGTTATCCCACTTCAAGAAAATTTGAATCAGATACATTAAAGAGTGACTATTCACATTATCAGAAGATTCTCCACAGGGTTTCTTTAAATAGCAACCTCCCCTAATGTACTTTTAAATTCTTAAAATATACATGATTTTTCAAAAACAAAATCTGTGTGTGAACTTAAGTGTGCTTGCATAACCAACCACTAACTTTTATTAGCACCTTATACAGTACACTGTCAAAAGTATCAATAGTAGATTGTGAGTGTAAAATGGGGGGAAGGGGGAGAAAGCAGGCAAGGGAGGAGAAGAACCAAAGGGAGAAGAGAGATTTAATGAAAAAGTATTTTTAATTCATTTTAAATGTCAAATGCTAAATAAACAATTTTATTGGGCATGATTTTTTAGGAAAATTCCTTGCATAAAGCAGATTAATTTTTGTAGAACATTTAATAAGAAGCTCCCTTGCAGTATTTACAACAGGAACATGTTAACAAAAATATGTTCAAATGTGTGGGTACAATAACTTTTTTTATACAGGTCAATCAATCCTTCTTACTACATGGCTAAATTTAAAAATACATCCTGAGGGCATTTGCAAGGAAAACAATGCCAACTAACTTAAGTGCTACATTTGAATCAGTACTATGAAATACTCCACTATAGAAAGAGGAAGAAAGTGTGCTAAATTTATCTATTTGATTTATTAGGCTACTTTAGAGCAGTTCGCCAAGAACCAGTCCAATTTGGAGAAATAGGTGGTCACACACAAATCAACTATGTCCAGTGGTATGAATGTGGAACTACAATCCCTGGAAAATGGTAGATGCTTGCGGCAGTGCTGAGAGATGCCTTCTGTTCCATCAAGGAAAAAGCGTTGGAAATGTTATAGTATTTTTCCCACTTAAACCTTCTGTTTATTATGTATAGAAATTTAAAATGGAATTAATGGCAATATTAACTGTTAGGATGCTTACTATATTTATCAGGTTCTACAAAGTCATTTAAATAAAATAAGATATAGGCATTAACAGGAATTTGGGAAGCTGGCTCCCTGCTCATAGTATTTTAAGAGATACAGTTTGTATGTTATTTATCACAGTGTTGTAATAAATGTTTTGAGGCACTTTTATGGTAAACTTAAAGTATAATATGCATTAATTTTAAATATTCACTTTTATTGCCTGTTTAGGTAACTCTACAAACCTCTATTCTCCCTCCCTTTATAATTAACTTTAACTTATTGGATCAAACTCTTCCTCAATAGAGCTGAAAATACAATTTTCCCAATATTTACATAGTCCTCAGAAGAGAAACAGTTGAATAAGCTTTTCTGGAAGAGCTTTGACACACAATCGGATATTTAGTGGAGATATTTGTCAAGTCTTGAGTGGAATGTTAGGCAAGTTTCATTTTAGCAGTTCTGCACCACCTATGCTCAGTAGAATTCAGAGTCCCGTTTACTTAAGAGATTTATTCTCTACCCATCCACCTATGCTGTAGTGTCTGGATGTATTTTTTTTCATCAAACTTAGGATTTCCACTATCCCTTAAAATAAATGTGTCTTCATTTAATCTATTAACAAGGTCATGTCCCTAGCCAAGTTGTAAGCACTGGTTCTGATGTTTGAGCACAAAAGAGTAGTAAATGAACAAGGTCTATAATAATGTACAGGATATTTGCTATATATATGTTGTATAAAAGACATCTATGAATGAATGCAAAGGAGGATATTTGTTGTAATTCTGTTTTAACTCAAACTGTAAAGAAAATCTGGTTAAATAAAGACTGTTCCTGGGGGAAGGGGAATAATTCACTGTGCTTAATGTCTTTTATACTGTTGCTTTTATTCCAAAAATGCCTCAATTTTCCCCCTCCAATGCTACATACATTTTTTATTTTTCAAACATTAATGAACTCTGCAATAAAGAGATGTAGTTTTTTTAAGACATGTGTTTCTTTGTTTCTGAGGTTCACATCATTGAATAATTTTTCCCTTATATATATTCATGTCCCTCAAATGACTGAAAGAGAATCCTTCATTAAAATTTAACATGGAATTGCACACTTCAAACTCCATAGTACATTTTGATCATCACTTTTTAAACTGATAACTAGTTTAATCCGAGGCTAGTTTGTCTCTCTTTGAGGTTTACTTTAAATGAGTTTTTATGCACTGACTTTCCCCCTGGCTCAGAATAATGAAATCCCTTCAATAGCTCAAACAAGAATTTGCAACTTCTTTTTTTGTTGGTCATGGAACACTGAACAGTTTTCTAATGAAACCTATGGATCCCTTTTTAGAATGTTTTTAAATGAATAAAATAAAATGCATAGAATTTACAAAGGAAGTATACTGATATACAGGTCTCCAGGTTATTTAAAAAATAGTTTACAGAGCCTCTGCTCCAGAGAAAATTTTACACCTTTTCAAGAGTTTTGAGACAAATTACATGCAAAAAGTACATAAAAGAAAGTTAATCCTTTTGACTCTCCCTTTAAAAGTATTATCCCACTGTCTGGATTAAGAACAAGACAAGTACTGGATTCAATCATTTTATTAGCCATTCAATGTCAATGTTACCATTTTAACATAATACCTAGTTTTTATCTCAAAGGGATCTAATTTAGTACATCATGTTAATAGTAAAAACAATCCAGAGAATATGGCTAAATCTCAACCAACCTAGCATCTTAATATCCTCTGGACAAGGCAAGCTAGAATTCAATCACTTTACACAGACTTAGGGTAGTGTTTCAAAATAAAAAAAAAAAAAAAAACTAGGAAGCTGATACAATTTAAAGCAGGGGGAAATGAAGATTTGTTTTGGTCTTTTATTCCAGCAAATTATACTCTCAATTAACAGCAACAGTGATACCATAAAGAATGCTCTGCCTCTTTTTTTTTTTCTGAGTTTCTGAACTTTAATACAAATTAAAAGTAGTATTGTGTCTGTTGGGATGGAAAATAGCTAACAGCTGCATTTACTTGTAACATAATCAATAAGCAGCTGAGTTTCCCTATCGATAACCAGGTCCAGGCTGGGTATAACCCTGAGTAAAGGGAGGACGGTTACGTGAATAAGGGTTAGGCCCACTTGGAGGAGGGGTCATAGTACTTCCAGGAGGTGGCGTATAGCCCGGTCTTGGTTGATAGGCACCTGGTTGACTTTGAGTCATTCCAGGTTGAGAGGCAGGGGTGTAACTAGCAGGCTGAGAAGCTTGAGTAGTGTAATTCTGTGCAGGATAACTGCTCGCTTGGTACTGCTGAGGAGGCTGAGCAGGCAGTTGTTGAGGCTGTCCAGAAAAGCCAGGTGCTGGGGGCTGGGAAGTTGGTTGTTGAGCATATCCTTGGAACTGCTGAGGAGGTTGGGGTCCAGCCTGCTGACTGTAGCCTGGTGGAAAAGTAAAATAGTAAGAGTATATTTGTGTGTGTGCATGTATGTGAGAAAGTAAAATGGTTTTACAAGATTTGATCGATAAATTTTAACATAAGGGTTAAAAGGCCTTTTTGGTCCACAAATTAAACAAACTTAGACAAATAAATCACAGGCATTTGTAACAAAGCAAGCACAGTAGCAAATTACATCTTGCATTATTTCAAAAATCAAATAATTATCTAATACTATGCAGCAAATGCATTTGCAGAAATAGAAAATTCATTTTAACTACAATTTTATTTTGTAAGCTAAAGCTACAGTGTTCATTTCTTTAGTTCAATTATTATGGTATTTTAGAGGGAGATAAAGGAAGGACATTAATTGAAATGTCATAATATAATAAGCAGGAAGGCCTACATAAAAGCAATCTCATATAAAACCATATTTCCTAGTGAATCTTCTTAGATGTGAACCTGCAGAACATTTGCAAAAAATAACATATTGCAAAATTTAAAAAAGCATCACAATGTTATTGGATGCATTCTATGATGGCAACAAGGTTTTGTTTATTCTTTCCTCTAAGTCATAAAAACTCACATTTTGCTTAATTCTTGCAAAATATTAGTGATTATTTTCACAATTCCTGAAATATAAGAGCCCTTTAGATTTAACATATTTTTACTCCTTTTTTTAAGTTTAAAATTATAATATTTAGCACACGTGCACTTAAATATATAAAAAGCTACCCCACCCCCATCAACACATGTATTCATAATTACTACAACTATGTTCCCATAGGATGTGATTTGTTTTGTTTTTTAAAAGAAAAGTCTGCTTCAACTGAAAGCTTTTATCTCTACTATGAAACACACCTGCAGCTACTTGCAATGAAACCTCTCCATTGACTGGAATCCTGTCAGCATTAAACACCAGATACATAAGAAAATTATTAAAATATGCACAGCCCTAAATATAAAATAAGGATCGAAGAATTCATTTGAGTATATTCTGAACTCACCTTGAACTTGGGTTCAAAATTTACTCATGAAAGAAACCTTTTGATAATAGTCCATGAAAAACCTGAAAATGGCCAAGGATTAAGAGGACACACCCACCAATGTGTGTCAAAAATGGTCAAGTCAAAATGCATCAATTTCATATTTCCACAATTTATGCTCTCCATGCTGGCTAAGGGTAACACCTTTTGATTTGTTAAATAACAGGAAACCAAAGAAAATTTGGAACATAGAGATAGGGTTTCTTAAAAAAATAAAATAAAATTTTTAAGGACTAAAGGTCTCGGAATACCAGGACTCTGACTCTGGGCCTCTGAGGGAGCTTTTCTACAGCAGGCATTTCTCCTTAGTATAAAATAAATTTAAATTTTCAAGTATTTTATCCAGGAAGGAAAGAAGATGTTTAGTGAGCCTCTAACTCATAACTGCACAACATATGGCCCATGGACTCTGCCTGTGGATTTCAGGAGACTGCAAAAAATGTAGAGGATGTAAAAGAAAGTAAAGATGTAATGAGTGCTTTAACCATGCCCCGCTTAATCTGCCTTCTGCTGTCATTATTGTGGCCGTGACATAACTTGGTAGGTGTTTTGCCACTGCACTGCATGCTTGTCACATGATCCACAGCAACTAACCACCATCAATGTGTATCTAGTCTAAGAGGACTGATCTCATGATAAATAAAAATCTTAAGTAATAAGTGCAATTAATTGATATTAATGGAAATTTCCCCTTTTTTATATGGTTTATTTGTAAAATACTTTAATCATTAATTATACCTGTACTTGGAAAGTGAGCCATAAAGACCTATCTGCAGCCCAAAGAAGTTTAGCCTATTTTAATTTTGGCCCCTACCTACTCCCAAGTTGTGCAGGTCTGCTCTAACTGAATACTAATCAATTAAAAAAAAACCTTTGACTTTATGGCTTTTTCCCAATTATTACAGAAAACTGGTTTGACCTTTATAATCTACTTTTAAAAATTCAGGGCTAGGCAAATAATATAAGATACTTAAGGGAAAAGATAGACAAAAATATGCACTCTAGATAAAAAGGTTTTGAGCAAAAAGAATGGAATAAATTGTATTTTCTGGTTCTTGCTACTTTATTCAAAAATTTTAGATTTGAGATTTTTTTTTAAATGGGGTCTAGAGGCATCTATTAAGACAATCCATTGTTAAGCATTTGCCTGAGAGGCAAGAAAGCTCAAAAAAATTAATAAACGCTTGATTGATAATTCCATACTCAATTTCTGTAGAGAAATAACATACTAGGGCCATGCACCACTTATCTATATAAGTTTTCTCCTTTTCAAAAGTTATTAGTGAAGCATATAGAAGATGGAATTTTTGCAGCTTCTTAGCAGTATGGTGTAGTAGAAAAAGCCCTGCCTTAGGAAAGTGCCAGACCTGGGCTATAGTCCAGCTCTGACTAGGCAACTGTGTAACCCTGGGTAAGTCACTAAATGCCACCAGAAACCAGCTGCCTCATCTGCAAAAATGAGTGTTCAAATAGATGATCTTACGGTTTCTTCTACCTCTAATATTACAGGAATTATTTAATTAAAATGTGCGTTATTTTGAAAGAATAAAATTCTTAGAAAGGGTGGGGAACCTGCAGCCTGGAGGCCACATGTGGCCCTCTAGAACCTCAAGCGTGGTCCTTTGACTGAATCCAGAACAAATCCCCTTAATAAAAGGATTAACTCTATAAAATTTGGACTCAGTCAAAAGGCTGCACCCAAGGACCGAGAAGGCCACAGGATCCCCACCCTGATAGCTTTTTAAAAAATTACAACACAAATTTAAAGTTTTTTTTTTTAATTTATTCTGTGCCCACAAAGAAAGGAATGGCAGCTATACATTTTAAATTGCACTACAACCAATATTACTATAATTTAAATCTCTATACAACCAAAAAAAGTTAAACTCCAATTGATGGCACATTTCATTAATGCTGGAGGCTACTAATTTTCAGAACAAAAACTGAACAGTATCCTTCTTCCCAACAGGATTTAACACGTATTTGGCAAATTATTGTGTATTCAACAGTTTCATTATTTGTGACACAGCCCTATAGTGATAAAACACTAAATCCATAGTCACTATAGATTTAAAGCTGAAAGGAAAACTTGACGTCATTTAGTTCCAAACTCTCATTTTACAGATGAGAAAACTAAGGCCTAGAAATGTTAAGTCACAGAGCCAGTAAGGGATTAGAACCTGGATCTGAGCTCGAAATCTTTCATTTCAAACCCAATGCCATTTCCACTAAGCCATGCTCCAAACCCAATCAAACATAAAGCTATCATCTGAATTGTATAACTTAATTGCAGCTTCCCATTAGTCATTTATTAAATATGAATAATTTCCATGCCTAGGTTCACTAAGGTATAAAAAAACTATAATCTATATTTTTCCTGTTGACTAAAAATACTTATTAAATGAGCCCATTTCAATCCACTCTGAATGTATAACTTCTATTCAAATTTCCATTGTTTCAGAAAATTTGTTAAAAACCTAACAATTTATGGAATCTGACCCTTAAATCAT